CTGGTTAATTTCAGTAAGATAAGTTTGATCATTGAATAATGCTACACATGTAGTTATTTTGGAATTTTTCTGACCTGCGCCGTCGTATGCGTCAGCCGGATTAAGAGATTTTGAGGGCGGTCGTTATAAGAGCACTGAAGTCGGCAGTCTGCTATTGTTAATAAACCACAAGTTTTAGGTATGATTAAGGAAAAACGGTTCTGAGAAATATTAATCACTGTACAGCTAAAAGTGTTTAAAATTAAAGAACTTTAGACGTTTTTGTCTCAAACGACTGCGGTAAAAACTGCCAACCTCAGAGCATCAGAAAACGATTTCATCCTTTTCTTTTCTGCATTGACTGAAACAGGAAACAAAAAAATTGCAAAATGTAAAGGGAAAGAAAAACTGAAGTAAATCCATATGATTTTTTTGGTAAAGGCTGTAGTTTGGGGATAATGTTAATGGAATCGGACGGATAACAGCTGTCTCTTGACACATTTCAATTACTGTAGGAATCTAGTTAGAAAGCCGATTACATTAAAATTTTGACGCCAAAAAATCTTGCTTTCTGGGCTACAGCGGCAAGCGACTTACTGTTTAAAAAAAAAAAAAAAACATTTTACGATTTGGTTATTTAGATTTACTTGAGAACCAGCACTGACAGAAGAGAAAGGTGGACAGGAAACCGCAGCGGTATTAAATAGTAATAGATTTCAAATACTGAAATAAAAATTCAGTAGAAAAGCAATATGAGAGGAGTAGTTCGTAGCTAATTTTTTTGTAAACGAATAAAAAGAAAGGCCAGTTCTGCGATAATATGGCGGTTGGTTTTCTGAAATTGAAGCTTTCAGTAAACGGCAGCACTGGTACGGTGAAATCGCCGAAATAAACTATTTCACAGAGCGGAACCGATGCTGCCGGTGTTTTCTGTCTTTTATCTGATGATCGGCGTCTGCGTTCAACTTTTCAAAGATCATTGTATTTTAAAGTTACTTCAAAAAATAAAAAATGAAAAAGAAAAAACAACAAACGCACTGCAAGCAGATCAAAAAATTCTATTGTTTTCCGCTGTGAGAAGCATATGTCTCATGGGAAAAATTTTTGAAATAAAAAATTTTTTAAAAATCTCAACAATGTTTAAAATTATTTGTGTTAATGTTCGTCAACTGTTTTCAACGATTACCATAATTATCAATTTGCTGTTTTTTTTCCTCCGCATGAATTTTTTTGATTTATATAT